ATCCCAGCAGCCTCAGGCACTGCAGAGGGAGCTGGTGACACTCGATGGCAAATCCAAAGGGGAGCCAGGAGCAGAGAAGGCATTTGGTCCTCAGGGAGGGTCTGGTGTTTGAGCATGGCACAAAAGCCAAGGAGAAGAGGAGGAGGCTGATGCTCCAGAGTGCATCCCTGCCCTCCTGCCACACATCCCTGTTTGGGATGGAGAAGACTGATCAAGTCATCTGTGCAGGAATGTCCCACACAGCCCTGTCCTGGGGCAGGGAGAGCAGGTAGTGCTTGGGCCACACTCAGCTCCAGGCTGCCAAAGCCAAGGAAGGATTGTCACTGTCAGGGGACATCTCCCTCTCTTGTGTCTCCTGCAGGACCCACGAGCTCCATGTGTGGGAACTGTCAGTGCCCTTCAGGTCAGGGAAATCAGGAAAGGTTGGAAGGACTCTGGGAGGTCCTGAGCCCCAGGCCGTGTTCAAAGCAGGGCTCAATGCAAGGCCAGCTCCAGTCCTTGCCCCGCTGAGTGCTCAGAGAAGATCCCATCCCAAGGCTGCAGAACTCCATGGGAAAAGCTTTTTCCTTATGGACAGTTGGAATTGTCCCTGTTGCAGCTGCTGCACGGTGTCACTCTTCCTTTTCCAGAGCACCCTGTGGGGCTCTGGGCCTTCCCCAGAGGGACAAGGAAACCTCTGGGGAATCTCTGAGGAACTTTTGGGGAACCTTTGCTTCTTCAGGCTGGAGTCACCTCCTCACTCAGTGCTGGGTTTGGTTTCCTCTGGCACCAAAGGTCTTCCCTGAGAAGGGAAAAATGGGGGTTTAGGCAAATTAAACAACAACTCCATGGACTCAGAGCTTCCATGCACATACCAGGAGTGAACATTATGCAACCAAAACTGGCCAAGTAGAACCATTTTAAACTCCAAACTCACAACATTCAGGGGACTGCAAACCCCTATTTGAGAGGGGGGGATTGAGGGGTCTGACAGCAAAACACAGCTGATTTGGGGACTTAATTGTGTTTTTCTGCCATTTCTGCCAACTCAAGGCTCCTGCTGGGCAGTGAAGCTGCCAAGGCTGCAGAGGAGGCTCCCCCCTTCTGTGGCACCAAGGAGCTTTACAGACACTGCAGCTGCTGACGTTGGAATACACAGGTAACTCTATTAAAATCATTAGGGACTGCTCTGCTGCCCCATCCCTGGCCAAGGCCAGGCTGGATGGGGCCTGGAGCAACCTGGGATAGTGGAAGGTGTCCCTGCTTGTGGCAGGGGGTGGAACAGGATGAGCTTTGAGGTCAGTTCCAAGTCAATCAATCCATTCTGTGACAGTGGAGTCACACCTTCTGAGGTGCATGGGGAGAGCAGAGGCAATGGGAACAAGCTGGGACATGGGAAATTCCTTTTAGATACCTGAAAAACAATTCACCATGAGGACAGTCAAATACTGGGAGAGAGGCCTGAGAGGCTGTGGAATCTCCATCAAACCTGCACTGGACAACATCTGGAGCAACTGGGTCCTGTCTTGGTTCAGCCCTGCTTTGGGCAGAGGGGCAGCCCCTTCCTCACTCACACATTCCACGTTTCTGTCAGGGAACACCTCAGTGATGTTCCCAGGTCTTTTATCTCCCTTATGCAGCCCAGGCTTTCAGCTGGCTGGATGCAGCTGCTCTGCCTGATGCATCCTTTTGTTTTGGGGAGAAATCAGGGATTTCCTTTCTTTCCAAGCTTCCATGCACACTGGGAGATCTCTGGGGCTGGAGAAGTGTCCCTGCTTTGCCAAGGGCCAGGCCATGACCTGCCTGGCACTTTTGCCTTCTTGTCCTCCCACAGCACGACCCCAAAAACCTCTCAGTCCCACAGGTGTGCAAGGAGTAGAGGGGAGGTTTTGCTCAAGAACAGCCTTGCCACAAGTCTTAGCAGGCCTCTGCCTGGCTTTCCTCACTGTGGCAGCTCCACATTCCCTTCCAGCTGTATCCTGTTAGTCTGTTAGGTCTGAGCCCTCCATCTGCCCCTTTCCTATGGTGCTTTCTGGTCCCATATAAGAGACACTTTCAAGGCAGGCAGAGTGAAACCAAGGTGTGCAAGTCTGAAGAGCAGGTTCCCTCCTGCAGAACCTTGCCAGGCTCTGGAAAGTCTCAGCTGTGCTGGGGCGAGGATGAGTCACTCTCAGAAAACAGCATAATCCTGGGAAATACAAGAATTCCCAGCATCTGCACCTCTGCCCCTCCTGGCGACCACCTGTCCGAAGGAAGGATCAACCCCCGGTGCTGAAGTAACCCCCAACAGCGGGATTTCCTGACACCAGAGCTGGGGACAATTATTCCCCCCAACAGAACCCGAGCGCGCCTCAGACACTTCCAGCTCAGGAGCGCCCGACAAGTTTGAACAGGCACCCTGCGCCTCTCTGGGAGCAGCATTGGGCCAGCGAGCGCTTTGATTGCGATCAGGCAGCTGGCAGGAATCCCAGGAACTCTCACAAAAATGCTTTGAAGAGCCCAGATGCACAGGGCGTGTCCCGCAGTGGGTGCGGAGGGTGAGTCACGGCCTCGCCGTGCGCCGCTGGGGCAGCGCCGGGACCCCCGAGCCCCCGGAGCAGCGCCCGCGTCCTTCGTGACACCGACTGCATCAACCCTCCGACCCCTGCCCATCGCAGCCCGATTCGGCGCGGGTTTGCGTCCCTTCCAGCCCTGCCCGCTGTGCCCGTGAGCTCCAGACACAAAGGCAGACAGGGAATTTGCTCCGGGCGCTGCGGGATGAAAGCTCTGCTGCTGCTGCTGCTGCTGCTTTGCCGGGGCTGCGCTGGGATGATGCTCCCCTGCCCCGCTCAGGAACACCCCCAGCCCGATACCAGAACGCAGTTTGCACAGAACTGCAATAAAAACCTTCGTTTAAGCATCTTTTGCTCTTCCAGATTCGGGTTTGGAATTTGTTGCAGAATCCCGGGAGATTCCCTCCCTTGGGCTAAACCGTGCGAAATCGCCCCAAGAAACCATTGTTTCCTGAAAGCCTCCCTGAGCTCCCTGTCCGCAGCTCCGCAGCCCAGCTCAGCAATTTGGGCGAGTTATGAAACCGGGAGATGCCAGAGCGCAGTGACGGGATGCGATAAACACGCGGCTCTCCCGCGGGGACAGGGACAGGGCTGTTCCTCGCCCCGGGCCAAGTGACATTACAGGTTTGCGAGAGCTGGCACTTTGTTGTGCAGGAGCCACCTGACGCTGACAGCCTGTCATTGATTTGCGAAAACACCGCTTGGCATCGATATCAAGCTTTCAGGAGAAACAAGTGGGGCAGGGGAAAACAACAGCCGGGCACTGCTGCTGTGCTGCTCCTGCCTGCACCGGGACAGCACGGCCTGATCCCCACCCGGGGAATGCTCAGGAGCAGCAGGAAAGGAGGGCACCCACTCACCCCATCCACCCCATCCACTCATCCCACTGGGCATCACCCACCCGGCCCTGGGTAGCCCCTGCCCTCCTCCAGGCTGGCCTTGCCCAGGCATGGTTTAAAAGTCTTGCTGGTTGGGTGAGGGAGCAGGGTAAAGCCTCTGCATCCCTTGGTGAGGTGTCAAGGAAGGTGGGGAGAAGGGACCAAAGGCAAATAAATACCCTCCATTTGCTCTACTCCTGTGTTATATTGACAAAACCCGGCTTTCTACTCCTGGGTTTCATGGGAGGAGCATCCTGGAGCGTGGAAAAGGACAGTGCACAAAGCTCATCTTTCCCAGGAGCCTGCTCTGTGCTTTCTGATGCTGCTCTTGTTCCTACAAAACATGAAAGGTGGACACAAACCACCAGGGAAACACAAACGCTGATGGATGGGAGTGAAAGCACCAGGTCAGACCCTGGGCACTGCTGATTCTCACTGGAGGGAAACTCCACACATCTTTTCTCCCACAGCTGATCCATCTGGCAGCACAAAGGGCTCTGCTCCTCTGAGTGCTGGCACAAGCACCCAGGTCCTGATCCTGGAGCACCCAGGAGGCCTCTACCCTGGGCATCCTCTCCTCAGCCTCCCTCCTGATGGGGACTGTTCCTCTTCTCCTGTATCAGCCTCCTGTGGCTTGGCAGGAGCTTTGTCAGCACTTGCTGTGACCTGAAACTGGTCACACCAGCAGCGAGGTGCTCGGTTCTCTGCAAACGAGTTGCTGCAGTGTGGCTTGGCAGAGGGAGAACTCTCTGCTGCCATTCATAGCCTGGCGTGTCATTTCTTGCACAGCCATTTTATCTCCTTGCTAAATTTCCTCTTTTCCTCTCTGCTACCCCAAGCTGTGTGCAAAGATTGCCTCAACCGTGCCCTGATTTCCCCACAGGCCTGTCCCTCAGACAAGGGGACACACTCTGGGGGGATGCTCCTGGCTCTCCAGGGGACCTGACAGGGCCCTCCCTGACCCCTGGGGCCGGTGTTCTGCAGGATTCCTGCATTCCTGGGCTTGGAGGGGTGGCTTTGCAGCCTGTGCTTGCAGAGTTGGGCTCCGAACGGGCACTGTGGGCAGCGTTGCTCCTGCAGGCAGGGCCATCTCTTGGCACTGAGACCTGGGGCTGATGCAGCTGGGACTGAGGGAAAACACTGGAACCCAAGAGGAGCCGTGTGGGAGATGTTCCAGCCCCCGGGGAGCACCGTTCCCTACCCAGACCCACAGAGCCTCAGCCCGACCCCTCTCAGTGCCCGTGCCCAGCCCTGGAGCCCCCCGCCCTGCCCACCGGCACGGCCGCGGCCCGCGGGGCTGGGCAGGGGCTGGGGCAGGCCCGGGGCCGGGCAGGCCCTCAGCGGCCCGGGGGTGCCGGGGCTGGCGGGAGGCGTGGGTGTGTGCGGGCAGGGCTGTATATCCAGTCTGGCAGAGGGTGTGACTGCTCACACGCTGGGGAGCCGAGCTGCGAGCAGCAGCCCTGAGACACCCTGGGCCAGGGGACGTATGGCAAGGAGGGATTCGGGGGACTAAGCCCAGCAGAGCCGGTGTTCGGTGGCCCCGTGTTGTCCGTGCGAGCCGAGTGCAGCCCCGCGCCCGCGGCCTCCAGCCATGCTCCACTCCCCGCTGAAAACGGCGCTGGCCTACGAGTGCTTCCAGGACCAGGCCAGCTCCACGCTGGCCCTGCCCTCGGACCACAAGCTGAAAACCAAGGGCACGGGCAAGCAGCGCGTCCAGGAGCAGGTGATGATGACGGTCAAGAGGCAGAAGCAAAAGTCGTCGGTGTCGTCAAGCGTGGGCCACTCAAACCGAGGTAAAGTCCCGCAGCGAGGGAGCCTCTGGGGCAGGGCTGGTGCTCGGGGTGCTTTGATGGGGTTTGTGGAGGGGGCACAGATTGCTTTGCTTCTCTCCTGGCTCACCTCAGGCAGGTGCTGCCAAGATCTCCTGCACTAGTTGGAAGGGTTTAGGACAAGACACAGAGCTGGAAGCATCAACTCCTTCCTGGCTGGAGCTGATCCCTGGGAGTGCTGCTCTGCTCCACATCCCTGAGGCACTTGGACGTTTCAGTGTGTACTATAACCAATTTTTCCCTGGTTTAAAGCTGGAGTAGCTGTCTGGTTTTGCAAATCCTTCCTCTGCAACTGCCCCCATGGCTGGGATTCCCCACCACCCCCTCCTGTGGATGGCAAAGCTGACAGTGCTCCTCCTCCACCCTGCGGGGGCTGGGGCTGGGGCTCTGCTGCTCCTGAGCGCTGGGCAGGGGCAGAGCAGGAGGCTGTGCCCACACACAGGACACAAACCTCAGCTCAGGATTCACCTCTGGAACTCCCAACACATCTCCCATTTACCGGCTGAGAAGTGTGGAGTCTCTGGGACCCTGATGGGAGTGGTAGGAAGGAGATGAGTTGGGAGAAGTGTCCCTGGTGTTGGTTGCTGGGGCTGTTTCACAGCCCCCTCCACTTTGCCTGTGTTGACGTCCAGGCAGCTGCTCCACCTCTGTGCTCTGAGTGTGTGCCACAGAAACAATCAGCTGAGTCCTGCAGCCAGGTGTCCCACTGGTACCCCCTCCTCTTTGGATCAAGGCTTGGCAAATGGTTCTCTCTGCCATCCTTGTGTCTGGAGAAAGCTGATCTAGAGGTAAAGCCCAGCATTCCCCAGCTGGAAGCTGCAAACCCAGAGGGTTGTGACAACTTCTGTGCAAAACCTTCTGGCTCTTGGAAGTGCTTTTTCCAGCAGCCACAGAGCTCTGGCCTGACTGAGTCCACCAGGGAGAGGAAATCCCAGGGCTTTGAGGGCCATTGGGGTGCTGGAGCTGGGACTGAGCATTCCGCTGAGTCTGGAGTGAACAGCATGGAGGGGGGTCCTGGGTGAGCTGGGCCAGGCTCCGATACCTCCTTCAGGAGCTGTGCCTTGTCCAGCAGCTCTTCCAAGCTGCATTGTGAGGCTAAATCCTGTGCTGGTGAGCTGCCATGGTCCAGAGGCATGTTTGAGGCTGGATTAGCAAGAGAAGCTGGGTGGCTGTAGGCTGCTGGAGGGAGTGTGGAGGTGGTGCTCCCTTGGGAGCCATCCCTGCTCTGGGAACTGCAGTTGCTGGAACAGAGGGAATGGAGCATCTCCTGAACGAGGGCAGGTGGGCTGTGCCAGGAACAAATCCCTGCTTCCTCTGTTTTGTCAACACAGATTCCAACAGTTGAAGGGGGGCTGGGGCAAGGAGAGCTTTCCTCTGTCATCAAAGTGGAAGATGGGAATCTCCTCCCACCTCCAGAGGGTTTATTGCTTATGGTGTTACAGTGACAGACCTGACAAAATAAAATACACAGCAGGATGAGCTGAGGGGCTCTGGATGGAGAGGGAAGCGGGCAGAGGGATCCACAGGCAGGAAGGAAGGGAGGCAGAGGGGGATTATCCAGCTTGGAGAGGAGCCCAGGTGAAACCTCTGGGAAAGGAAAAAAAAAATAGCACATTCCCAAATTGCCAGTTTCTGCTCAACAAGCTAAACCCCTCCTCCAGACACTTGGGGAATGTCTGGGAATGGGAATTGCGTGGAGATGTGCAGCTTTGGTTTCTGTGTCCCAGGGAAGCTGAGTCACATCCCACTCCCAGGAGTTGCCTCCAAGTACAGGGCCCAGGCCCCCCCTCCCCTCGTTCCCACCAGGGGTGGTTGGCCAGCAAAGGTGCTGGGGGCTGATTCATCCCAGTGCATTCCTGGATGGAATCCCAGAAGGGTGAGAAGTTGCTGTTTGTTCCCAGGGCTGTCTCCTGGTTGGTGTCGGAGTGGGTCCAGCTCAGCTTTCAGGTGTTGGGTTTTACTGCTCTTGCCCAAAGATCAGGTAGGCAGCCCTGATGAGAAAATTTAGTTTTTCCTACAAAGAGGCTATGTGGCTCTGTTAAGCATGGATTCTACCTGTCCAAACCCTCATCCAACTTCAACTCCCTGCGTCCCCTGGGATTTCTCAGAGATGCTCCTCAGAGGCAGCACAAGCTGGGGAATTCCCAAAGCCCCCTGACAAGTGCCTGAGTGCTTTGTTCCCTCTGCTCCCAGACAGTCCCAGAGTGGGGCTGGGCAGCTGTTGGGCCAGGTCCAGCTTTGTTGCTGTGTTTGGAGCTGTGGTTTGAGCTGGAGTTGGAGCAGGGCCCAGAGCTTCCCCCACCTACAGGAACCGTGTCCGGGTGTGTGTAGGATGGGGAATATGGACGTGGAACCCTCACGCACACAGCAGGGTGGGGGTGTTGTGTCCCACCACTGGAGTTCCTTGAGGGGGAGCACACACTCCCTCACTACCCCAGTGATTGATGGAACCATAAATGAGCTGGTGATTTGGAGTCCAGCAGGTCAAGGTTTTGTGGCCACTTTGGAGATCTGGTGTCCCCCAGGGCAAGGTGGCCAGTGTGGGCTCCAACTGGTGTGTGCTGGGGTGGGACAGTGGGCAGAAAACTGCTGCCAGCAGAACACTCCTGAACCCAGTGGGGGTTGGCTCAGCACAGCAGCTACAGCTGTTCCCAAGGGTGTCTGGGATGTGTGGGGTCTGTGGGGTCTGTCCTCCTTGGGGGTTGGGTCTGTGGGCTCTGCTCTAGGGCTTATCTGTCCTTCTCCCCATGGCAATACCAAACTAGATGGCTCTCCTTGAATTTGTGAGTAATGCACATTTCCAGGGAAAATTAATTTCAGTAGCGTGGCAGAGGAAAAGGCCAGGCCAAGCTGAACCAGCTCCTTTAACCATCAGCTCTGTTCTACAAATTCCTCTGGCTAAAGGAAAGTTCTGCCAGTGGTTTGTCATGGAGGAGACACATCCAAGGAGTGTCAGATCCAACTGTCCTGTGGCTGAGCTGGGATTGAGAAGTTTCTGTGCTGGCTGTGGCTAAGAGGGGAGTAATTCCACCAAGGTCTAATGGGACCCCATCTGGCTTTGGTGGGGATCAGGACTCTGATGTGAAGTGGGATTTAGGGCATAAAAAGTCTTTTGAAGACTTCTGTAACCTCCCCCAGCATGAGATGATTCAGTGAAAGGTTCCACTCTTCCACAAATCTTATTGGGATACAAAAAATCCCCATTAGCTCATAGGACAGAAGGCAGAACTGGAGTTTTGTCATTCCTGCTGGAATCTCCATGTCTGGGATTTCACTGACACTTCTCTCCTAGAAGGCACCCAAGCTTTGCTTTGTGCCTCCCACAGGCCTCTGCTCTCCCTGTGTTTTTCCTATGTTTAATCATCCTTATTGTTTAAAGCTGTGCATAGTTTATGATTTAACTTGCCTAGCCTGCACTGCCAGTGACTGGTTCTTGTCTTGCCTTTCCCTGCCACAGATTAATATTTATTAACAGACATCCTTTTCCACAATCTCCACGTTGGCTCTGTGTGTCCGGCTGGCTTTGGGAAAATGGCACTTGGAGCACAGCTCTCCTCCTGCCAGCAGTGCCAGCTGCAAGAGAGGAGAGCTGCCTTTGAGGAAAGGAAATAACTCATCAAGAACAGCTACACTGAGTTGCGTGGCAGCCTCAGTTTGCTCTGCAGTAGTGGATAACAGGGATGGAGAAGGGGGTGAGGGCAGTGGGAGCAGTGTAGGGGGGCTCACAGAGATGCACTGCAAGGTTTTGCAATTCTTATCTGCTGTAATTGAATTTTACCCTCATGAATTGTCCCACTGAAGATAAAAGAGATTTTAAAGTGTCTAAGTTTTAAAGGAGATGTCATGGGGGAATGATAATTTGGGGAGGGGGAAATCTCAGCAGCCTTCGGGATTGTTTTCTGCCCACATGGTCACTGAGAGGCTGCACCTCATCTGTGTGGTTCTGCCACATCTTTCCAATTCTGTCCCACCTGGTGAGGGTCCTCTGTCATGAGGAGAAGCTGAAGGAGGTGGGAAAGGGGCTCAGCCTGGAGAAAAGGAGGCTTCTGGCTCTGCACAGCTCCTGACAGGAGGGGATAGCCTGGGGGAGGTCGGACTCTGCTCCCAGGGAACAAGGACAGGAGGAGAGGGAATGGTCTCAGGCTGGGCCAGGGGAGTTTTAGGTTGTATTTGGGGGAAAATTTTTTCATGGAAAGGGTGGTCAGGCCCTGGCACAACTGCCCAGGGCATTGGTGGGGTCATCATCCCTGGGAGTGTTTAAAAGATGTGTGGATGTGGCACTTTGGACATGGGTTAGTGGTGAACGTGGCAGTGCTGGGGGAATGGTTGGACTCTTTGATCTTAGAGGACTTTTCCAAGCTCAGTGGTTCTGTGATTCCCTGGTTCTGTGTTACTGACTCTGTGTGTTTGCCCAAGTGCACATGGGCCCTTCAGGGACCTAAACAGCTGCTTGGGTAACAGCAGCTGGGACACAGACCTGTGGACACAGCCAGAAAAAAGCACGAGGGGGGCACCTCCTACTAAGAGCATTTCCACCCTGGCCCAAATGGTCTTTTGTGATTGCCTGGGTTTATCCCAAATTCCAAGGACCTGGGACCAGGTTGTGTGGTCTTTGCTCTTTTGAGGTGCTTGAAAAGAGGGATCTCCTTCCTGTTCCTGAGGGCTGGGGATACTGGCTGTCAAGCTGTCTGTCAAGATGAACCAAGCAGAGAAGTGTCCAAACCTGCGCAAAGATCAGGTTTTCTTCAGCCACCTTCACCAGAAAATCCCCAGGTTCTTCCTGCTCTCAATACTGAGCTCTCCAAGCAATAAATCCCAGTTGAGTGGTGGCAGGAGAAACATCTTCTCCAACCAGCAGGGTGACTTCAAAATGCCTTGAATGTTTGAGGTTCTGTATAATTCTGTGTTTATAAGCTCTTGTGTACAAGTTCTGGGAGGTGAAGGCAACCCTTCCCTGCTGGAGAACATAAACTTGAACCAACTGCCTGATCTGAATTTAGCCACATAACAGTGAATTTATGAAGAAAGTTACAGATGTGCCTAAACTGGCTTATTTTGGGTATCTCCTTGCTCTAACCCCGGAGTGCATGGCAGGAACAGATCCTGAAAGGAAAAGTGTAGTCCCCAAGCAGGACTGGTCAGAGGGACCTGTAAGTCAGGCACAGAACCCCTTTTTACAGCTGCTCACTCAGGAAAATGGTCCAGGTGCTCACACCTGCAGTTACAGAATGTTTACCGAGACCAAGAGGCAGATTTGAAGAAGGAATTCCCAGGAATTTATCATGGAATGGCTTTACCTTCGTGCTCAAGAGTTATGGTTATCAGCTAACTCTGTGTCCTGGGGAATCACCTGGCCCAAACTCACCACTTCCAGCACTGCCTTGCTGCTGCTTAGGCCCAACACTGATGTCCTGATGTGGAATTGAAAGGAAATCCCGGGGGGGAGAGGCAGCACAAGGTGAAGGACATGACTGAATCTCCCATTGCATTTCCATGGCCACTTCTTTGTCTTATCAGCAAGTGCTGTGCAGCTTTATGTGCATGAGGCACTTGGGGCTGGGGAGATCTGGGTGAGGAGCAGTGCCCACCAAATCTCCAGACTATGGAAAAGGAACTCCTGGGGTTTCCTGCACAGGGGCAGGGCTGGGAGCCGAGCTGGCTCTTGCCTGTTCTCCATCCAGGGATGTTCTCCAGGTGCAGTCCTGCTGACAATAGAAAGCAAATCTCATTATTTACACCACATCCACAGGAATCATCTTCCTGAGAAAATGCAGGAATTTTTAGCCACAAACCAAATCACCATAACAGGTTCTGGGTGCCTCAGGCAGGGCAATAAATAAGGTTTATTCCAAGGATCAGTGGCTGGAGGAGACCTGAGTGGCTCCAGGGCCTTTGTGGTCGAGCTTATCCAGTTTATCTCAGAGATGAGTCTTATCAAACAATCACAGAGATTAGGATATTTCTGACATTACCCACCAGTTTAGGTGCATAAGTTAGGACAGGTAAGTCCTGATTTTGTACTTTATTAGACATTCAGAGCTTCCCCTGGAAGTTAATTGGAGTGTAGGGTTTGCACTTCCTCATAACGGGACCTGAGATGCCACAATTATTGAGCATTTCTGAAAATGAAACTGAAATCACCCTAAAGTCTTTTGGACCATCCAGAGGGTTAAGGGAATTTCATTGTGGAAAGAGAATGATTCACTTCATTTGTCTTGTAGTGATGAACGTGGCATTGAGTGAAATACTTTTAGGAGTGATCCAAAAATTGCAGTGCCAGAGACTGCTGGGAGAGCTCTTGGAAGTGCTGGGGTAGGTCAATCCAAACTCTGGTTAGAGCACTGAGAAACAGAAAAAATGGCTGATGGGTTCCTCCTGATCCAAGATATTTGCATCCTTAAAAAACATATCTGAGATCCAGTCTCATTTATTCCTCTAGCATCCCAAAAATAATGATGGAGCTCTATACATTTTCAGGAAAAGAAAGTATAGACACACAAAGTGATCTTTTAGAGACAAGACTGGAATTCAAAGAGTGCAATGAGGTTTTGTAGTGCTTGATTGTTTTAGATCCCCAGGTGTTAAATAGACTGGATCATCCTTTATCCATGGTGTTTGTTAGTGACCATTGATTAATTTTAGCAAGCTTTGCTCAGGCTGCTCGTGCTGATGGGATTGGTAGGATTCAGACATGGAGTGAACCGGTGAAAGGGTCAGGGGTAGGTTTTGCCTTCAGAGAGAGAAATTCTATTTACTACAAGTCTTCTGTGGCTAGACATTCTGGGACATGTAGCACAAAATAGCATCAGGTTCCTCTCATACTACAGCTAGGAGGCCACCAAGTTGATCAGAGGAAAGGAAATACTTGCCTGTGAGGAAAGGCTGAGAGAACTGGGATTGTTCAACCCTAGAGAAGAGAAGCTCTGGGGTGACCTAATTGTGCCCTTCCAGTACCTGAAGGAACTGACAGAAAACATGGAGAGAGATTATTTACAAGGGCCTGGAGGGACAGGACAAGGGGGAATAGCTTCCCACTGTCTGTCAGAGGGGAGAGTTAGATGGGATATTGGAAAAGAATTCCTCGCTGTGAGGGTGGTGAGGCCCTGGCCCAGGTTGCCCAGAGAAGCTGTGGCTGTCCCATCCTGGGAGTGCCCAAGGGCAGTTGGATGGAACTTGGAGCAACCTAAGATAGTGGAAGGCGTCCCTGCCATGGCAAGGGTGGAACTGGATGAGCTTTGAGGTCCAACCCAAACCATTCTGGGATTCGGTGATTCCATAATGTCAGACACTGTCCCCGACTCCTTTCTGCTCCTTTGCTTTAGATTTTATGGCACTTGGTCATTTGTGCTGCAAACCTTGGGGAGCCCTGGGGGGTCTGTGGTGTGAGGGCTGGAGTTCCCAGCAGTGACAAGGGCTCCCCTTCCTGCCTGTATTCCCTATGTTCCTGTTGAGATTTATAACTGTCACTTTTCCATAACTAATCTTGCTGTTAAAAAAAAGCTTTGTGCTCTGAAAGGGACCTGCTGGGAATCCTTTCTCCTGGGAATGCTTTCTCATGCTGACCATGCCTTTTCCATTTGCAGGTTCCATGTATGATGGTTTAGCTGATGGCTATGGCTACGGGACATCCCGGGGCAGCTACTACACCAAAACCCAGACAGGGAACAGCAACTGGGGATACCCGGTAAGACACTCCTTGATCTGGGATTGTGGCATGGGCTGAGGTTCCCTGGACAGGAAGAAAATCTCAGTCACATAGGGAGGTCACAGTGCTTCAGAAACTCACCTGAGAGGGATCCTGGCTGTTCTGGAAAGGGATTCAGTGCAGTGGAGGAGGAGGATTGAAGGCCCCACAGCTGCTTTATGTGGGGATTTTAGAGTGATCAAGATTTAGTTTGCATCTGCGGGTTGGTATCCAATGGCACAAGAGTTTGGAAGCTGCCTGAGGGATCAGGGTTGGGTTCAGACTATCACAGCTCAGTTCAAGTCTGGAGCACATCCAGGGGTTCCCATCTTTGTTCCTGTGCACCAAAACATGGCTGTGAATGACATGAATGTGGCTGGAGAATGTGGAACAGGGGATTTGCATTAGAACTGCTGTGCTGCTGTTCCCAGCCTCAGTGCTACCGCAGACCCTTCAGAGATATTCTCTGTGCTTGCAGAAAAGTGGATCCAGTTCTTCCACAGTGATTTCCAAAAAAATTATTGTAGGTTTCCAGAAAAAGCACAGGTGAGATGGTACCTGTCTTTGTGCAGTGTGAGTCTGGACATCCCACAGAGCTCCTGGGCCTTGGGGACAGACTCCTGGTATACAGGGAATTGCTCCAACCACTCCACAGTCCACTGGGACAACTTGTGCTCATGTTGCCCCTCCATTTCAGGCCTGTGTTCTGCTGTTCCCTGCTTTTCATCAGCTCTAAAGTAGAAAGGAGCAATTCACAGATCTGGGATTTGAATATGAGAAAAGCAAAGGACTCCTTTCAACAACTCTGGAACTGTAAAGCAGCTCCGTGTCAGCCATGAAAGGTTTGAACCAGGAAAGGTTTTGGTGGCTCCAAACACACAGACAGGGCTGCAGCTTTTCCTGGTGGTTGCCAGATCCTCTGCTTGTTCAGAGCACCAGCATTCCTCAGCTTCAGAAGGATTTACCGGGGTCTTTCCTAATGGCCTTGTTGTAGCATGATGGCTTCGAGGCAGTGGTGTCACTTGCTGAGTTTGCATCACTGGGTGTTCAGTAGGAAAACTGGGAGCACTGGAGTGTCTTTGAAATGTTCATTTCCAGCCTGTCTGTTGGCCCATTTCAGTGTCCCTTCCTGTGCTGGTTAAATCCCAGCCAGAGGGGCTGCTGTCCCCAGATGGAAAAGTTTGTTCAAGAGGAGGCACCAAGTGGATTGGGGGGATGGAGAATTCTGCTGTGAGGAAATACTGGAGAGTTGGGATTGTTCAGCTTGGAGAAGAGAAGCTTTGGGGTGACCATATTGTGGCCTTGTAGTACCTGAAGGAGCTACAGGAAAGATGAAGAGAGATTATTTCAAGGGATGGAGTGACAGGACAAGGGGGAATGGCTTCAAACTGCCAGAGGGCAGAGTTAGAGGGGATTTTCTTCCGTGAGAGGGATGGAAGAAATTCTTCCCTGTGAGAGAGGTGAGGCCTGGGCACAGGCTGCCCAGAGAAGCTGTGGCTGTCCCATGCCTGGAAGTGTCCAAGGTCAGGTTGGACAGGGCTTGGAGCAACCTGGGCTAGTGGAAGGTGTCCCTGCCCATGGCAGGGTGGAATGAGATGGGCTTTGAGTGTCCTTCCAACCCAAACCATGCTGGGATTCTGTAATGGGTCAGAGCACAGGTCCACCCATCCAGGTGTCCTGTGTCTATCCCTAAGACAGTGGTGGAGCCCTGCAGAGGGTCCAGCCATGGTAACCAGGCAGGGTTTTTGTGGCCACTAGAAAAGTGCAACTGAGGCAGTTCCCGAGGCAGAGGTGGAGCATCTGAGCTTCACGACTCAAACAATTGGGATGTTTTGTTTTGATGATATGTTGCTGTTTGCCTATTGTGATTCCTGAATGGAGTTTGCTGTGCTTTGTCCAAGCAAAATTGCTCTGCTTCAGCCATTCTAAGGGTTTGTAGATGGGTTTTTTGTTAAAGATGGAGGAAGCCAAGGCCTGGCTCTGCTCATGCTGGTAAGGTGCTGCTGCAGCTCCTGCTGCTGGTGTGAGGATTATTGTTTCCTGTTGTTAGTTCCTGATCTTGTTCCCAATCATTATGGCAGCTGGACAAATGCTGGGTAGGTGGGAATGCCACTGGCTGCCAGGGGTCTCAGTCAGCAGTGTTTGTGTTCTGGGGAACAGCTGGAAGGTGGTGATGAGGGTGATAAAGTTCAGGACCTCCATTAGACACACCAGAGTCCCCTGGACACAGCAGTTCAGTCCCTTCAGGCTCACTGGGGATTTGGGCAGCTCTGTCTGTTCTCTGAGAGACTCCTCTGCACTTACTGAGGAGGGAAGGTCTTTCTCCAAATTTAAGTGTCATGCAAGTCTTTAATTCTAAATATTTTTGATAAAGGTCTTCAGGATCTGTGTTACTTCAGCAAAAAGGACTGGGACCTGTGAAGGATTCACAGTAAACTTTGTCTTACCTGAGTCTATCTGAGAATCAGCCATTTAGTCCTGACAAGTTGTCTGACTCCTCCCCTGGCCAACAAAGGCAGAGGTAGGGGCAGTGATTCATCTCCTCCACCTGGGAGATCTGTCAGGTCAGGATGAATCAGCCCCCCTGGATCCCTATCTCCTGCCACTGGAGCTGGATGGAGCAGGAGATGAGTGCACAGGGAGATGACTGCACTCAGAGGCAAGCAGTCCCAGGGGCCACTGGCACTTTGGAACACATAACCTCAAACCTAAATGTGCTTAAGGAGCCCAACAGACACCAGACTCCTCAACCACACTGAGCAGCCTCCTCCATTCTGCTTTTTCCAGACAGTATTAAAGGTTCCACTCATCTGCCACCAGCCTCCAGCTTGGGATAACTTCAGCTTTTGTCTACAGACCTGTTTGAAGTCTGTGCAAGTTGTGGGCTTCCTAAAAAATGTTTCCTGTTTGTAATTCCTGGGTTGTAAGATGTGAAACAAAAGATAAAGCAAATCTATTTTTGAAGGCAAAATTGCTGGACTTATTTCCAGCTGGAACTGGTGCTATGAATGTGTCTGAAAAGTGGCAAAGTCCTTTGAGGTGCACAGGCAAACTCAGATACTCCAGGGAAGTGACCCAGTGTAATATTCAGGGGAATAACTGCCTCCCAGTCCCCCTGGAGTTAAAAAAGTGCAGCAGGAAATCCATTTCCAGGGTGTTGCTCCACAGCACCTGCACCTGAGACACTGCAGTGCGCTGATCTAAGGCACTGCCTCAGATGGTGACACTAAAGATGTCCTCTCCCGCCCACAGCTCTTAAAAGCTGCTATCCCCAACTTCCTCCTTTTGTGTTGTTTTGTGTCTTCCTGGAAATGTCAAACTTTTCACTTCTGTGTTTTCTTCCCAATCTTGTGAGACTGATCTTCAAATATTAGAGTAAGAGAAATGATGGATCTGGAGACAGAGCTCTTTCTGGATCAGTCAGTTTGGAGCAGGCTGCCCAGGCCAGTGGTGGAGTCCCCAGCCCCAGTAGTGTTCAGCAACTTGTGGATGTGGCTCTTGAGGACATGGTTTAGGGTGAATGTGGCAGTGTTGCATTAATGATTGGACTCTTTGATCTTAGAGGGCTTTTCTAATTTAATGATTCCATAATTCTTTGTTTCTAACACTTTGGATTAAACTCTCCAATTCACCCATTATTACAACTTACATTCTTTTCTGTTAATTCCCCTTGTGGGCTGCCTCATTTGCAGCATTGCTGTCCTCAGTGAGCACCTTCTCACTGCCAGTGCAAGGAGCGCTGAGCCAGTGGGGCCTCTCCAGGAGGGACTTGGAGGGCATTGGGTTTGCTCCTGGCTGCAGCATTTCCTTGCCTCATGTGTCAGGGGCTGGCACAGCTTTCAAGAATGGGAATTCCTTTGGGAATTCCTTTGCTCAGATCCCACACTGGGATGCAGTAATGGGAGGATCCGTGCCTGCAAACCCCTCTGTGTCAGGGTGATACCTCAACCCAGGTGCTGTGGAGCCTTAGAAACATTTGTCACCCTACTCCACTGTGAGCTGAGAGTGGCCAGCAGTTCCCAAAGCCCTCCAGCCTCAGGAACTGTGTCCTGGTGTGAGCAACACCTCAGGTCCCACAGGAGGGTCAGTGGTGACCATGATTTACACAGACAAACCCCGGGGAGGGATAAGGAAGCTGAACTGAGCCCCTGGAGCAGTGCAGTCATGGCAGAAGCCTCAGCATGAGCCACACCCTTGTCTCTGACAGCTCAGTTCACCCCAGAAATGGAGTCTCTCCAGCAGTGTTGCAAAGCCACAGCCACATGGGTCCATGGGTTGCAGGGACCTTGGTGCTCACCCCAACTGCAGGTACAGCTTTGGAGAGGCACAACCAAATCCTAAACACATGGAGGGCAGCACATGGGGTTCCACCAACAAAGACCTCTGAGGCTCAGTTCCCACCCAGCTCTTGCCTGGGTCTGCTGGCTTGGCAGGTCCATTGCTGACAGGGAGTTTGGGCATTCCCAGGTCCCACAGCATGACCAGGATGAGGCAGGACCAGGACAAGGTACAGAGCCTACCTGGCTCTCCATGCTGCTGCTTCCACAAGAAGGAAATCCCCCACATCATGTGGATGTGTCCAGTGTGTCCCCCCAGCACTGCCCCCAGCGAGGGCAAACAAATCCTGGATGTGCTGGGGAGGGAGTCTCAGATGTGTCCTGTCTCCAGCAGATCCTTATCCCCACAGAGCTGAACTGGGGCTTTCACAGGATCGCAGGATCACTGAGGTTGGACAAGACCTCTGAGATCATCCAGTCCAACCTTTGACCCATCACCACTGAGTGCAGGGTCCAGTCATTTCCTGAACACCTCCAGGGACAGTGACCACACTGCTGCCCTGGGCTGATCATTCCAATGTTTAACAACCATTTCCATGGAGAAATTCCTCCTGATGTCCCACCTGAAACTCCCCTGGCGCAGTTTGATGCCATTTCCTCTTGTCCTGTCCCTGTTCCCTGGGAGCACAGCCCAACCCCCCCAGGCTGTCCCCTCCTGTCAGG